TATAAAAAGAAAACAACGTAATAATCAACAAAATTTAAACAACATATTGATGCTAAAAAATATACGCTAGTTCCGATTTTCTAATTTCGATTACTATCAGCCTTGCTTCTTACTACCACCACGCTGCTGGATATTTCGGCGGGCTGCCAGTTGCGAATTGTAGCTGTAGTTCTATCACATTAAGGCCCAGGCTCCATAACTCATTCAACTTATCCCTCATCTCTTTCCAATTCGCGAAGAATCGGAAAGAGATGAGAGATAAGTCAAATCTCGATTAAGAGTTGACAGTGAATTGAGCAACTGGGGTCCGAGAGGCTTATTCTGTAACTTCTTAACGACTAACGTGTAACGCTACAGTCGCGAACAAGTTACAAAATTGGCTCCCAAGTGCCCTCCGATCGCTACGTATTTATCTCTCTCTCTCTCTCTCTCTTTTTTTTTTTTTTTTTTTAAAGCAATACACTGATATTTTGACGCCAAAATAACGCGGGTGAAGCATAAAAATCATTTACAAGATGTTATTAAGTCGAAATTCTGAAACAAGTCACCGTACAAATCGATATTTGTTACACATAAAATAAACGTTAATTCGAAAGAAAAGCATAGCCTATTTTTAAAAAGAAGGAAAAGCCTGTATCCGCTTGAATTCCTTGTTCGGAGTCCGTTCGCGTCGCCATTTAAGTAAAAATGGTGGAAAGCGACGAGGAGGAAAGCGGAATGAGATCGCTGTCTTTTATAGATTATACGGAAGGCCTTAATTCCGCCGACGGTCGATTCGTTTCCGGGCTCGTCTCTGGTAGATTAATTTGTCGATCGATAAGCGCCGCGAGTGGCTTGTATACGACGTGACGGGGGTGACACGGGAGAGTACGACGTTCGACTTCCACTTAAGAGTATTATTAAAAGCTCGATTGTAGATGGAATTTTTGCACGACGCGAAGCTGAGTCGGCGCGGAGATATTTTTCAGCGTGAAGAACGCCGAACCGTTGAGTTACGAGTATTCTCTGTTCATCGAAATTCAGATGCGATAAAAGGATTAAATGGTAGATCGCGGTAGGTCTCGATAATCATGTAAATTCGAACGCGGTCGTAAACGTAATTTAGATTCATGTCTCTCAATCTTTCCAATTTATTATATACCTCGAACACGTACAATATCTGAACTATATATAACACGCAATATTTCAATACTATATATATATATATCCATTAATGTTTTCTTTTTATTTTACATCGCACAATATCCTACATGTAGGATTTCGTCAAGACTTTAGAAATTGAGTGAGAATCCGCCACGCGGCGTGTCGAGTAGTTACAAACTGGTGATTTTCCGAACGTCCGATCGATGGGATAATTCCAGCTCCGTATTTATGCTGGAAGGACGCTGCTTCCGGAAGCTCGCATTTGCGGAAATACATTCGGGGTGGGGGGGGGGGGGGGA